CCATCCAATCCATAACTTCACAAATTAGAAGCAAAACAAATAAAGAAAAAAAAAAGATAAAATTTCCATACATTATCATTTATTAGTGCAATTCTTGAATCAAAATTGGAATTCCACTTTTGTAATATGTGTAACAAAGATGCGGGGAAGGGAGGTGCGGAGAAAAGAGGTGTAAATTTAGGAATTTAATTTTTTTTTTAAAATGGTAATTTAGACATTTTATATATTTTTTTTAAAAAAGGGGGTGTGTTTATACGAGAGTGGAGGTGTGTTTAACATCTGCCTTTCATTAATTCCCCCCAAAAAAAAAGAAGTTAAAGATTTAATTGTTGTCGCAGAAAGAAAAATAAAATAAAATCTTGGTCAAAATCCTATTTTGGTCCCTTATAATCTTTTTTTGTTTCAATTTAGTCCCTAATTAATTTTTGGTCTCAATTTGGTCCCAAATTAATTAATTAGTTTCAATTTAGTCCTAAATTAATTAATTGGTTTCAATGTGGGACTTTCAGTCCAAATTGCTTTAACGGTGTTAACTTTTGGTCACGTGGACGCCACGTCTGCATACGTGGCATCCACGTGGACGAGAATTTTTTTGAAAACACCTGGACCCAGAACGGCCCGTTCTGAAACCGGAACGGGCCGTTTTGGGTGCACTTTTGGTGTGTTAATTTTGCATCCGGAACGTCCCGTTCCAAGTGCAAAATTAACACACCCAAAATGCACCAGAACGGCCCGTTCCAGTTTCAGAACGGGCTGTTCCGGTTTTATTTTATTTTTTTATATATAAAATATTAATAATTTTATAAAATATATATTATTAATTATATTTTAATTATGTTATTATATCCAATAAAATAAATATATTAATATTTTTTTATATTTTATTTTATTATGTTTATCTTATTAATTTTTATCATTTTATTCCTTTAATCTTAAATAAGTTGCAAAAAATTATAAAGTGATATTCCTTTTATCTTATTAATTATTATATTTTTTAATAAAATTAATTAAGAATATTGGTTTAATTGCATTTTTTATCCCTCAAGTATTACAATTGTGCAGTTTTGTGATCTCCAAGATTTTAATTGCATAATTTTAGTCCTTAAAGAATTGCAATTGCGCGATTTTGGTCCTTCAATTTTTAATTGAACAATTTTAGTCCCTCAAATATCATAATAGTATGATTTTTGTTTCTCCCATTAAAAATTAATAATTTTAATATATATATATATATATATATAATGTTTTAAAATTAAATAATTATTTATCTATTCAAATTAACGTATATTATAATTTTCGATATTATATCAATAATATTATTAATATATTTATAGATAAACTAATAATTTGATAAATATAACTTGTTATATATTAATATACTTTTACAAAAATATAAGTATATTAATTAGAAATATATATCTGATCTTATATATTTATATTTTTGTAAAAGTATATTAATATATATTAAGTTATATTTATCAAATTATTAGTTTATTTATAAAAAGGGTAAAAATATTATTGATATTAATTTATCAGTAATATTAAAATACTAATAATATATAAATTTTATTTATTTAGTAATAGTAAATATATATCATTTGATACATTAAAAAAAATATAATACGTTAATTTAAATAAACAAACAATTATATAGTTTTAAAACATTATATATATATATATATATTAAAATTTTAAAATTATTAAATTTTTAATGAGAAAGACTAAAATTCCACAATTATGATATTTGAGAGATTAAAATTGTTCAATTAAAAATTGTGAGACTAAGTTTACACAATTATAATCTTTTAAGGACTGAAATTACACAATTAAAACCTTAGAGATCAAAATTGCATAATTATAATATCAAAAACACAATTAAGTAAAGAATATTTTATTCACAGTTGGCCCGTTCTGATTTCAGAACGACCAGTTTTGAAAGCAGAACGGCCCGTTCTGAATTTCAGAACGGCCCGTTCTGCTTCACTGGTGGTGTTTTAATTTTGCAACCAGAACGGCTCGTTCCGGTTTCAGAACTGGCCGTTCTGGGTCCAGGTGTTTTAAAAAAAATTCTCATCCACGTGGATGCCTCGTATGCATCTACGTGGCGTCCACGTGGCCAAAAGTTAACACCGTTAAAGCAATTTGAACGGAAAGTCCCACATTAAAACCAATTAATTAATTTAAGACTAAATTGAAATCAATTAATTAATTTGGGACCAAATTGAGACCAAAAATTAATGAGGGACTAAATTGAAACAAAAAGATTATAAGGGACCAAAATAGGGTTTTAACCTAAAATCTTTATTGGAAGTCCTAATACTACTATAAGGCTGGCCCAAGTAGACGGTAGTAAATTGAACTCATTATCACGATTTTAACCTTTTCTTTTCTTTCATCATGACTTTGAATTTAATTCCTTCTAATAATTATAAAAGTTCAAATCACAATTTAGTTAAGAAACACAAATATCAAATTAATTATCCTAACAATTGTTGGTAATGACAGATCATTTAAGTAATAATAAGTTTTGGTGCCATTATAGAGTAAATTTTGTATGTTATGATAATGTAGAGTTTTTATTATTATTATTATTATTCAATAAAAAATTGAATATAATAAATTTTTTAATTTTTATAATAATTTTTATTAAAAATATTTTGTATTCATCGACATATAAAATTAATTATTTTACATTAATGATACATAATTATTAATAATAATATTTTTTATTGACATATAAAATTAATTATTTTACATCAATTGTGCATTAAAACTAAAATATTTTTTATAAAGACAAATTAATAGAGTAGAAGTGTTATCTCATTATAAGGCCAATAATTAATTTACACCCTCCCAATTTTAGACCAAGTTGTATGTTAATTACTTTCTTTTTTTGTTCGTTTAAGCCTTATTTGTTTTTTTTTTAAATGTCTTATTTGCTTCTTTAGATTTTTTATTACAATTTATTTATTTAGTTTGAGTGTGTGTCTGAAATCAAATAAAAAATGTGGATGAACACTTTTTCTATACCTAACAAAAGTAATAAAGAATAATTTTCCCATCAACTGATATGATCCTTACTTGGATATAGATTTAGGATGTACATCCAAACATGTGTTGATAGAATTTTAGGCCAATTTTTACCGGACACTATATTCATATAAATGTTAAAATTCATCGTATACACCATATTTTAGGTTAACTTTTAGAAGTTTTTCTCTAATGAGAGTATTTTAAATATTTTTTTATGAGATAATTTCTAGATATCTTTATTTAAATCTTATTTATTATATTTTTTAAAAACTAAAATTTAATGTTTTTAAAATAGATTGTCAATAATAATAAAATAATAATTTTGGATTATAATGTAAATTATTTATCATAAATATTAAATATATTTTATATTTCAAAATATGTATTTATACAAATTTTAAATATAATTTATATATTAATATATTAAAATTATTTATAAATAATTTATTATAAGTTTTAGTTATAGATAATAAGCACTTAACAGAATTAAAATACTAATCAACTCACATATATTAAACACAAATCTTTATCTAACATGAAATTGATTTTAGGAATTTTTCTTCAATGAAAAGTTCATACAATAAATCGATACACAAAATGATGTCTAGCTGCTTATAAATATTTTTATTTGCGAGAGTTAAAACTAAATTTTGTGACACCCTCTATCTCACATGCATTATATCAACAATTATAACAAGAGCTTCCTCAATAATCTTTTGAATAAACACCTCAGGATAGAAGTATCAGGGCCCAACATCACCAAGTCAATGAGCTCCTCAACTTGAGTAGTGGTGTTGTGATTAAAATCTTGGAAAGTTGAGGATAAGAGTGTTGGTGTTGTGGTGCAAATTTTCTTGGAGGATTGGTGCTCTTAATCTTTCCTTTTTCCTTCTTCCTCTTTTCTTGGGGATTTGAGGTAAGGAAAACTCTTGGATCTTTATTGTTGAATCCTTGCTTGAATTATGAACTTTCATGGATGTATCGATTGATTTTGAGATTGAAATGCTTTTAAGTTTTAGTTGGTTTTTAAGGAGTTGAGAACAAGTGATAATTTGAGCTATTGATGGATTACATGTTGGAATTTATGATTTATATGAGTTGATTATGATGAATGGTTGTGTTTTCTTGTGCTGCATGTTTCTTTGGACTAATTTTCAAATGAATTGAGCCAAATTTGTGATTTCATCAAGTTTAGAAATCATTAATGCACTAGGTGTAACTTCATGGCGTTGGGCGTGAGGCAAGTGAATGGCTCTCTATCTCATTGACACCGTGCACGAGATTGGTAGAGCCACTATGCCAAAAGTGTAAATAGATAGCGCTATTTAGAGAGTGCTTAAATAAATAAGCGCTCTAAATGAACACATGGAACAAAAAGAGAGCACTTAGTGAAATAAGCACCATAGAAAGTTTACTTATAGAGAGCGCTTTAGAAAAAAAATATGATGAGTGCAATTAATGTATAATCATCAGAGAGCGCTTGAATTGATATTTTTGTGACTTGATATAAGTTGGCTGGTTTTGGTTTTGAAACTAGTTGCTACTAATTTTAGTTGGTTCTAGTTTTGAAACTAGTCTACTGATTTTGGTTTTGAAACTTGTCTTGATGTTTTGTTGCTGATTTATGGCTTGATATTAGTTGGCTACTTGGCTACATGGGCCTATTTTTGGTTTAGATACTTGATTTGAAATTAGCTACTAGGCCTTTTTTGTATAAGTATTCCTTTATTGTTTCTTGTTTACTTTCTTTT